AGCTAACAAGTAGATTTTACATAACAAAAGTCGCTAGTATTTTTACCGTGTATTGATCTAATCACAATTCAAGCTAACAAGTAGATTTTACATAACAAAAGTCGCTAGTATTTTTACCGTGTATTGATCTAATCACAATTCAAGCTAACAAGTAGATTTTACATTACAAAAGTCGATAGTATTTTTTACCGTGTATTGATGTAATCACAATTCAAGCTAACAAGTAGATTTTACATTACAAAAGTCGCTAATATTTTTACCGTGTATTGATCTAATCACAATTCAAGCAAACAATTAGATTTTACATAACAAAAGTCGCTAGTATTTTTTACCGTGTATTGATCTAATCACAATTCAAGCAAACAACAATACACGGTAAAAAATACTAGCGACTTTTGTAATGTAAAATCTAACTTGTTAGCTTGAATTGTGATTACATTAGATTTTACATTAAAAAAACAAAAACACGATCAGAATGTGTACGTAAAACCTAATACCGGTGTTAGAGATATTTCCAGGTTTTCATCAAGTGTGCTGTAATTGAGTTGGGCTAAGAAAGTAGAGAATGCTAACAATGCATGGTCAGTGGACTAAAGTTATATAGATCAATAAATTATTGTCCTCATTCTCTTTGAAGTTGTGATATGAAGAAAAGCTGCAGTGTTCCCGCCTCCAGTTCTGTTTTTGGTGACCCATGTCCGGACACAGTGAAGTATTTGGAAGCCCACTACAAATGCATTGCAGGTAAAGGAGAGTTTTAGACGTATCTAGTTTTAAACAGAAAAATAATATTTCTTTAAATCTTTTTTTTTTCTATTTAAGTAAAGAAAAATATATATCCATCTTTTGTATGACATCTGAGTGTGGTATGTGGTATGCTTGATAACGCTGGAATATTTGTTATGATATGTCTGACACGTACCTAGTTCGCAATGCATTAGATCATTTGAAAAAATGTTTCATAATGCTTTATCCTGGCTAAAGCAGATAAAAGTTTCGTTCAATGTTTTGTGTTTGTATGTTTTCTGGTGTTTGATAGAAACGTTCGTTTAGGTGAGACTCAGAAAATCTTTTCGTTTTAATTTCAAAATGATACCCTTTATATATTACACTAATAATGAATTTATTGCTTATTAAAATGGGCCATTAACAATATGGGTCTTTACTTTCACTTCCAGAAGCTTACAATTGCATTAACAATATGGGTCTTTACTTTCACTTCCAGAAGCTTACAATTGCATTAACAATATGGGTCTTTACTTTCACTTCCAGAAGCTTACAATTGCATTAACAATATGGGTCTTTACTTTCACTTCCAGCAATTGTAAGCGTCGGTCAGTGAGTAATATTGAAGTACCAGCCTCAAGTAAGAAATATCGTATGCTTTAAAGTACTTTAAAACATATATCATGCCAACCATTAAAGTATTTTAAACTTGTATCTTTTAGCTAGAATGACGTTTGAATGGTGTATGTATATCATTAGAAATATGAAAATACATTTTTCTGATTTCATTTTGTATGTGCGTAGGAAAAACATTTTGCACAAGAACTGCACCCCGGATGCTGCACATAAACATCCAGCTAGAATCCTTTACTGTGTAAAACTTGATAGTGGTCACTTTATGCTGTCATTCTTCTTGCAGAGCACGTAAAACCAAGAACTAGAACTAACTTAGCACACAGTGACTGTGAACTTATAAGTATTTATAGGTCTCTGGACAGGCATTGCCAAAAGTGCTACTGGTAATGTTCAAAACACAGCTGGGAGCGAGAATACTTGGGAATTATTCATTAAGCGCTTATAATTTCACACACATAATCGGTGTGTGCAAATAAAAAAAAGTGTACTTTTAATAGTCATAGATAAGATTAGTTTTGGAGTTAATATTTCATTTAGGTTTCTTTGAAACTTGTAATGTGAATTTTATATTGCAGCCATCTTAAGGCTTAGCTTCCTAAACTAATATCTACTTACATTTGTAATCTACAATTGCTGCGATTATTAAAATATGAGTCACCAATAAACAACCGCTTTGTTGACAGCGTACAAATAATATCGTTGTGTGATAACAAAAATAGTTATCTAACACATGGTTAAACACTAGGGGATCCCAACATTACTGGCCCGGCATGGCCAGGTGGTTAGGGCGCTCGACTCGCAATCTGAGGGTCGCGGATTCGAATCCCCGTCACACCAAACATGCCCTTTCAGCCGTGGGGCCTTATAATGTAACGGTCAATCCCACTATTCGTTGGTAAAAGATTAGCCCAAGAATTGGCGGTGGGTGGTGATGACTAGCTGCCTTCCCTCTAGTCTTACACTGCTAAATTAGGGACGGCTAGCGCATATAGCCCTCGTGTAGCTTTGCGCGAAATCCATAACATAAGATAATAATGGAATATATTTGGTAATGAATCAGGAGGTAAACAATGGTTTTCTATCATTTGGAAATTAATTATTTCAGTAATCTAGTAATTTAAAATAAGAAGGCAGTAGCTATATTGCCATCATTTTCTGTCTGGTCCCCCCTTTTATATATATTTTGCTATGACATTTTAAGCTTCTGATCTAATAAATAACGAACACCTCTCATCTTCATCTTAGTCTTGATGCATGAGTTACTAATAAACAAAACTAATGTATAACCTCAGTGAAAAGTAAATTTGGGGCGCGATTAACTGCTAAAGATACCATTTTTGGAACAACAGTATTAAATTTATTATTTCTACTGTTAGCTTAGATAAATTGATAAACCAACATCACGATTTTATTTTTGTTATTATTATTATTTGTAATTAAGCACAAAGCTACACAAAGGGCTATCTGTGCTCTGCCCACCACGGGTACCAAAACCCGGATTCTAGCTTTGTAAGTCCGCAGACATACCGCTGTGCCACTGGGGGGCTTTATTTTTGTTAGGGAGGAGAGGAAATAATTTGGAGAGTGAAAAGAAAATGTAAAAAATGCGCTCGTCATTTTCATATAGATCTTATTCCCTAAGACTTGGATAGAATTTTTTAAACATTAAAACAACAAAAAATGATATGTTATCTAAGTTTTTTATTGAATTCAATAAAACCCGTAGATTGATATGAAAACACTACACGGACGTCATAATAAAACTTGTAGATTGATGTTAAAACACTACACGGACGTCATAATAAAACTTGTAGATTGATATTAAAACACTACACGGACGTCATAATAAAACTTGTAGATTGATATTAAGACACTAATAAAACTTGTAGATTGATATTAAAACACTACACGGACGTCATAATAAAACTTGTAGTTTGATATTAAGACACTACACGGACGTCATAATAAAACTTGTAGGTTGATATTAAGACACTACACGGACGTCATAATAAAACTTGTAGATTGATGTTAAAACACTACACGGACGTCATAATAAAACTTGTAGATTGATGTTAAAACACTACACGGACGTCATAATAAAACTTGTAGATTGGTATTAAAACACTACACGGACGTCATAATAAAACTTGTAGATTGATATTAAAACACTACACGGACGTCATAATAAAACTTGTAGATTGATATTAAGACACTACACGGACGTCATAATAAAACTTGTAGATTGATATTAAAACACTACACGGACGTCATAATAAAACTTGTAGATTGATATTAAGACACTACACGGACGTCATAATAAAACGTGTAGATTGATATTAAGACACTACACGGACGTCATAATAAAACTAGACTACATTATGGGTGAGAGAATATTTGCCATTAAACCATTTAAAAGATTGAGACTATTTTTACCATTCAACGGTACAATATATTGGAATTGTCAAAGATGTTACCTATTACAGTTGCTCTTTAACAATACTATTTAGCAACAGTATTTAAACTAAAACAATTACCCAATGTTTCCGGAAATAAGTTATTGAAATCCATAAACTAAAACTAAAACATTTCATCTTTATGTCCAAGTTTTAAACTATAGCAGTCCTTAATCATGAAAAAGTTTTCAAATTACAAAAAATAAGTAATCTTGTTAAAATTTTAGGTTAGTAAGTCAACTTTTCAGACTAACAATTCATCAGCAGCTCAAACGTTTTGAAGAATAGCAAACCAATATTTCGAAACTCAAACAAATAATCTTATTCTGACAAGGTATCATTACATTTACGTTTTCATACTTTTGCAAGTCAACACTAAATCTAAATTTTTCAGACTCAGAAACGTCATCCTAGAGCCTAAGTTTTCAGAAATTTAACCCAAATTTGTAAATTCTAATAAGGCATCCTTATGCCCAAGTTTTCAGACTTTTGCATTTTAACTCCAAATCCAATTTTCAGATTCTTATAAGTCAACATCATGTCCAAGTTTCCAAACTTTTTCAAGTTTATATCTAAATATTCTACTGGGGCAAAACTATATCATTTCCAAGTTTGAACACCCAAGCAACACATCACCATGTTTACATTTTCAGACTCCGTGAAATCATCATTATGCCAAAATATTTCGAATGTATATTATGTCTCCGTTTTTTAAATTTTATTTTATAGAAACATAAACACTTAAATTGTGATAACTCATCATGAGCTATGGTTAAAAGCTTGATTATTGAAAGCCATAGTCTTATCTTAGAACAAAGGAATGCGTGACGACAACTTCCTTTATTATAAGTATTTTGACAAAACTAAGATTAGCAAGTTATCATTATCCTCAGCGAATGAGAATTTTTTCAAAAATGACTTACCAAATTCTAAATGTATATTTAAAAAAAAAGGCAATACATATTGTATTAAAGATGCAACAATGTCTACAATACGCTGTTGATCAAGAATTGTAATATAAAGTTTGGTTAATATGCGATTAGAATGATATATTATCATCAAAATCATTATTTGTATTTAACTGAGATTAAGCATTAGATTATTAATTATACGATATGCTGTTAAAGTTTAGACATTGTTTTTGAAACTTTCACTGGAGATATCTTGTTATCACATCCACTAATAATTATATCGTTTGTTATATACCATAGCGTAACAGAAGAATATATTTCTACTACATTAATATGTACGCTTGCAACCAGCGAAACCCAAAATCTTTGTTTCGTAGTAAGGAAAGGATAATTGACTTGTATAATATTTTAGCTACGACAAGACAAATTCACTGCTATAAAATAACGTCTTCCCCCTCCCACTTCATTTTTATGCACAAAACGCATAGAATCTGAAATGCAAATGACTGTTCATTCAGGCTAAGATTGTAAATGAACATTTTGTAGAGATGGCTGTTCGTTTTTACAGTTCATAACATTTCATTTTAATATGGAGTACGGTCACGAATAGCAAAACAGCCTGTCACTGATGTTGCATGCTTATAATCAGAACGTTTATAAAACCTTGGGTATCCTGGACCACTCCTTTGATAGAGGTGTTTCTAGGACACCTTTAGTGTCTGGATTCATTTGGAGGCATACGACGTATCTCCTAAGAGCATCCAACATCTGATTCATGCTCTGAATGTACATCCTTTGAATGCAGAGCCAGAATGGACAACTAGCGATCGTCTATCTGTTTTATGGAGGATGGACTGCGTTGTCTGAGAATCTGCGCATTTGGCTTGAAAGCGATTTCGAATTCCTTTAACAACACTTTAACACTTTCAAACACTTGTAGCCAAATTGCAACAGAGATACTGACATTAAATATATACTGCATGATGTAGATTTTCTTCTTTCGTTAATTACTTGTCTTGCAACCTGCTGCGTTTTGTTAGAACCAACAACTAGAATAGGGATCTCTACATAACAAAACGAATAAATACCTGTGTTATTTTTGAGTATATGTGTATATACAATCGACTGTGAAAATTAGCAACATTTGAATACCACTTATTTCAAAATCACGAAATTAAAAAAACGATGACAAATGCTTTATTTATTAGAAATAACAGATATAATCATCAAATTATATTTTTACAAATACTAAATGCATCACGAGATCTTCGTCCAAAGTTAACTGTAGTTAACTGTGAAATGTGAAAAAGGATGCCACACACACACACAGACACATGTTCTACGTAAATTACATGTAAATAAATCTGTACATTGGCAAATCAATAATGAGTATTAATTCCATCTAAACTGTTGTCATACAAAGGACATGAAAGAGAAATTATGTTGGAACACGTGAACCAAACAACTCAGTACGTTGTTCCCCAAATCATGTAACAAATTATTTTTATAATTATCTATTTCTAATAAACATGGCAGGTATGTTATCAAACTTTTAGAAAACAAAATTTGTGACTGGAGAGAGATTTTTCGTCAAATGATTATAACTAAGGGTATTTTAGTGTTACTACTGTAGAGAGAAATCGGAATTGAATAATAATAGATAATTAATTGTTACAGTGTGTCACGCGTTATTCAAACACCTATAAGACGTTAGGTTATTAGTGGTGAGTAGAGGACTATACATGTAAAACAAAAAAATTGCTTAGATTCTACCACTATATGAGGCCTACTTGTTTCTTTTGCTCTTCCAAGCAGAATTGATGAAAATAATATATTAGGCTTCTACGTGATCTCTTCTTCATTTAAATTCTCGTTTTGGTGAAGAAAAGAAATTTACAAATAACAAAATAACAGTCACTGTTCAGTCAGCTCTCTAAAATTATATGCATCTCTAAACAACGAGGCTACATGCACAGTAAACAGTTACGTTTTAGCCCTAGCACTTAATAACTGACAGTCTTTTCGTAATCGGTGTGCATTTGACAGAAAAATGAAAAACTAATACAGGATCAAGCAAGTGCAAAAATCAAGAGCTTTGGTAAAGTGTTGAACTGTGCAAACATTTTAAGTAGAGGTTACACTTCATTAATTCCTGAAATCATTCTGTAAACTATGTTAACTCAAGTACACTGGAGACTATCTTGTTTCTTCTTGTAAATATATTGTTTTATTCAATAATTATTTAGTTTTTTTTATGGTCGTTCCCACCTTTAGCTTGCAAAACTTTCAGTTCTTTAGCGTTCCATATACGTGATTCCGTTTTTTTTTGTATTGGAAAACGTTTCATGTTTGAAGAACACAAAACGATTTAATGAAATAATGTATACATTAAAGATTTTTCTTTTTTAACAAAGGTAGAATTGAAAAGAGAATCTGTGACGTAAAGGCCAAATGCATTATTTGATTGGCTGTACCCTCTGCTGTGTAATCTCGAATATTGAATTCGGCGAAATCTCATAACATTATTCACATACCTAAATTAATTTAGGTTAACTGTATAATGAAGTAACAGGGACTCAAAACCCAATAGATATATATTTTGTTATTATTCTTTATACTTTATGATGTAAGGCAAGGATTTTAATGACAATAATATTAAATTCAGTTGAGTGGTTTTCTTATACAAAAGTTAGCCCTCGGAGTTCAAAATAACAGAACAAAAGAACTCACCTCTCGTGCATGACGTGATACGATCTTAGAGATGTACATTTAACACTCCAGTCTAAGGCGCCTTGCTCGTTACAGATACTGATACTGAATCGCCCATAGTTGGCTCGGATCAGCTGGATTAAGTGTCCTTCTTTACAAGTTATCCTTAAATCTCTTCCTTCACAGGCGTAAACTGTTCTGTACTCCAGCCGCTCTACAAAAAGGATACAAGTGAAGAATATGAAGATACTGAAGAAGAGATATGTCTAAATCAAGCAAGAATACAAGTGAAGAATATGAAGATACTGAAGAAGAGCTATGTCTAAATCAAGCAAGGATACAAGTGAAGAATATGTAGATACTGAAGAAGAGACTATGTCTAAATCAAGCAAAGATACAAGTGAAGAATATGAAGATACTGAAGAAGAGCTATGTCTAAATCAAGCAAGGATACAAGTGAAGAATATGAAGATACTGAAGAAGAGATGTGTCTAAATCAAACAAGAATACAAGTGAAGAATATGAAGATACTGAAGAAGAGATGTGTCTAAATCAAGCAAGGATGCAAGTGAAGAATATGAAAATACTGAAGAAGAGATGTGTCTAAATCAAACAAGAATACAAGTGAAGAATATGAAGATACTGAAGAAGAGATATGTCTAAATCAAGCAAGGATGCAAGTGAAGAATATGTAGATACTGAAGAAGAGATGTGTCTAAATCAAACAAGGATGCAAGTGAAGAATGTGAATATACTGAAGAAGAGATATGTCTAAATCAAGCAAGGATGCAAGTGAAGAATGTGAATATACTGAAGAAGAGATATGTCTAAATCAAGCAAGGATATAAGCGAATAATATGAAGATACTGAAGAAGAGATGTGTCTAAATCAAGCAAGGATACAAGTGAAGAATATGAAGATACTGAAGAAGAGATGTGTCTAAATCAAGCTACAATGATGCATAAGTCTGTTAGTAGGCAATGTGTGGGTGATATTACACCACAGTAACATTGATTATACGACACCACTTTTACTGCCCCATTATGGGTTTCCACTACGACGAGTTCTCGTTTTGAGCGAAACGTCTCGTTGGCAGTGGTGACAAGTAAAGAAAGTATAACTGAAACGGTATTGAATATATTCCTCTTCATGAGCCAGTAAAGAGTAATTCAAATTAAATTAAAAACAGAAAGACCAAGGGAATAAATGCAACTATATTTAATCAAACGTTTCCAAATCTACAAAGTCCATCATCAGTAATCTGTAAAAATATATAGATTAAAGATCACACGAATTTATACACATGAGACCTGAAGTAAATCAAGAATTAACAACATGTTGGAAACAAAGAACCTTCTTTCTACTCTGTCGCTTTCATTAGTCGTCTGCGAATACACTTCAAGTGTGTGTAATGCCACCTATGCTTTTATTAGTCGTCTACGAATACACTTCAAGTGTGTGTAATGCCACCTATGCTTTTATTAGTCGTCTACGAATACACTTCAAGTGTGTGTAATGCCACTTATATTGATAAAACTTTACACCTGTGAACATACAGGTGTATCGAGCAGAACTGGTTAGAAACACCAACCACTCTATTTCTAATGATAATTTTATACTTATAACATCGGGTTCTTCCAACTATGAATCATTCATCAAAGAACATTTACTGGTACTGAGTGAACAATTAATGACGATGACCTTAGCGCCTTTGACTAACTGTATTTTGATTTTTTTCCAGCTACTCATACATACTGCAATTTCATTGATTCCATAAATTCTGTGAACATAAATTGTTATTATACAGTACTTTTTGTGATGTACTAAATACCCTTTCAATTTAAGGAACGTGATCTGTGTATCGTCTTCAAAATGTATATTTGTTTACAGATCGCTGATGACGAAATTTATAGATTCCGAAACGTATGATTAAAATGTTTGTCGCGGTACTTCTGTTTTCCATTAAACTCCGGTTTCCACCTAGTGGATCTATTATTGATCTTATACTTGTGTAATCACAAATATTACCTATTCTACAAGCTTCAAACATCCTTATGCGTTCTTACTAATAATGAGGGTTTCTGTATTCACAAACACGACCTTTTATGTGAACAGTACCAACGAAAACAGAAGTAATATGAATGTTAAGTAAACACGTGAACTGTATAGGGATGTATTCAAACGTATTATATAATCCTCAACCATTTTTTATATATTTTCTGGAAGGTCTTCTTTGTAATCTATGGTAATTTTGCAAGAACGAAACACCTCAAGGTGCAAAATTTTAAAACTGAGAATTCCAATTTGGTGAATGTCATCAGTGTAGTCAATATGTGGATAATGAACAAAATAGTTTGTTCTTGTAAAGGATCCACTAGGTGGTTACATAATGATACAGACTAATGGCGAATTTAGATATTTTCATGTGCATATATTACTGTGAATAGTTTACTAAAATCAATAAACCGTGTTTGTTTTTACATTCATGTTCAAAATGTGTGTTATTATATAAAATAGAATGTAATGACCTGTTCACATGTTCCTCGTGTTTCTACGTTATAATTATAAATAGCAATATAAAGCCAGCTCTGCTATGCACTTCACTGAGTACTAAATACTCTACTTACAGTTTCGTCGTTACACATTTGTTTATATTTTAAATGTTTGCTTGTTTTGGAGCTGTCTTTTGTCATACAACAGATTTTGAAAGCTCGTAGCAAATGTCACTAAAACATACTTTTCATATTTATCAGTTGAAATTTGGCAACATACCTCAAAATGCTAATACAAACACAAAACACAGCTTAAAATACAACAAATTTATATAGGCTCAGTGTTAAGTCTGAAGGCTTATAAAGCTAAAAACTGAGTTTAAATATCCGTTGTGGATACAGCACTGATAGCTTACAGTGCAACTTTGCGATTAACAACAAAATCTATTTATTAAAAGATACATACTTCTGCTCCAAGAAATTAAATATTCAAATTTCATTATAGCTTTGTTAACTTTTCACAATTATAATTTTAACAGTTATCAGTGCTGTATCCACAACAGATATTTAAACTCAGTTTTTAGCTTTATAAGCCTTCAGACTTAACACTGAGCCAATCAGTGCTGTATCCACAACGGATATTTAAACTCGGTTCTTTAGCTTTATAAGTCTTCAGACTTAACACTGAGCCACCAGGGAGGCTTGTAAATATAATACAACAAATGATGTCATATTATTAGATTCCTTTCATAAAAAAGTACAACCTCAATGTGATTGTCTTTGATACTTTTTGTTAGCCTTCTGGAACTAACAAAATTATAAATAAAAAAAAAACATGTTGTAACCATATATAATGTGAATTCGAGTAAAAATAAGATTTTTAATGTATGTCCTGATGTTACGTTTTCAATGAAAATTAGTTCAGTCTGACAGAAACTAGAACATTCAAGAAGAAACTCTTTGGACTAAAGACCAACTACAAACTTACAAAACGATGACTAAAATAGCAGGAAAATGAAAGAAGTAAATAATCCTACAGATCCAGGATTTTTACCCTAGAACTCCTGATTGTTTTGTGTTCGGAGTAAATGTCTGTGATATTTTAAAAGATATTTTTTTACTTGAAGGTAAAAAAATTAAATATATATATATACAATATAGTTGTTTGTTTCATATACAAAGAATATCTACGAGAGCAGTCCTTAATTTTGAGCTGATACACTAGAGGGAAGATAGCAACTCATGAGCACTCATTACCAACTCTAATCGAATAGTAGGTTTTGACTGTCGCTCTTATCACTCATCCACGGCCTCAGAGTGCGGAGCGCGTTTTTATGGACCTGGAACGCAAATCATGGACCCTCGGGTTTCACAGCCTGGTACGCTAGCCACCAAGTAACGCCCGGCCTTCTAAAGAAAATTTTATCATGGAATTATAAAAGCACACGACAAAGCTTTCTCAAAGAGACGCAAAATAATCTTTCTATTCGAGTACATTACTATGCTCTTTTTTCGGGTGGTGAATAACAGCGCACAACTTACTGAAGTTCGACTAAATAAGAATGATGTTGACGTGGAGTGTTCTTACTGACAGGAAGTCAACATTGTACAGCAAACTTAGAGCAGTAACAGTTGTGTTATTTTTGTCATGTATGTCATATTGCAGTACGTTGACGATGTTTCATATAACTTGTAGATAACTACGGCTGTTTCACACCTGTCACGGTATAAATGATGATTATTTTCTCTATATATGATTTTAATTGAATTCCATTATACAGCACAAAATTAAACGAGTAAGTCAAATCAAACGTTACTACAATATTATTTACGCAATTTCACTTCTCACTAAGATCACAGCTTTGTTAAACATTAGTTAAAACAGGTCTGAGGGAGTGTGTGTTACAGTGTCGCCATTTTCGAGCCAGTCCTTTCTAAGGTTCATTTACAGATTAATCTGAACTAGCAATACATATAAATATATCAAAATTTTAACTTATGGAAATTAATAGTTAAAAAAGCACTCCAATAAAAGGGTATAAAATACGTAAACTGACTAATCAAACATAGAAATTTCTTTAGCATCATCACTTTAAAAGTTGTTGTCTGAACTCAACATAACTGTCTTAGTCTTTAGGTATCGCCAAATTACCCAAAAAAACACGTAGCTGACGCTAAAATTTTTATAACGCCTTTTGCGTAGAAGTTTTATAGACTTTTTAATCTATTTACGTATGTGCATCCATCATATAACACAGGAGAAAATGTGTTGTAACCCAAGTTAAGAATTAATAATAATTGTAATAGAGAATTAACACTTTAGTCAGCTGCAAAGAACAGTTACAACAATTCACGAAAACCATTCTTCCATGCATGGACAACTTCATAAAATAATTTTCAAGGTGCTGTAAGGATTAAAGTCTCTATATTTTGCTAGTGACAGTCGGTGTTTCCTTTGCATATCTTATGGACTTTGATTAACGCTTAATTATACTTCCATGCGAGAAAAGATGTTACTCAACATTAAATAAACAGTTTTATATTTATATGATTGTTTAATGTTGAGTAACATCTTTACATTATACTCTCGTTATCAAACTTCTTCTCCTGTTATACCTGTGATGTCGTGTTTTTATATTTATACACAACATCACAGTAATAACAGGAGAAGAAGTTTGATACTCAACATTAAACAAACATTTTTATATTTATACACAACATC